AAAATAAAAATTTGTGAATATTATATTTTTTTCCATTGTAATATATAGTTTACAGAAATAGTAAGATATATCCAAATCTGTTTTAAAGCTTCTTGTTAACTTCATCATTTAATCGATAGGACAAAATACCACAGAGTATTGTAATCATTAGATCATATACATTTTTTTTTCAGTATAATAAAATAGAGTAAGTAAAATCCTTTTGCTCTGTTTAAATTTCTATGTTCAGTCAATTTTATATAGATCTTTGTTGATATTGTTCCTAAGCCCTTGGAGTATTTTGAATTTATAGAACGATGCGCTTTAATTCAAGTATCACATATTCAACACTGAATGTCCAGCAAAACTTTCCTGACAGCCATTATATTTTGCCATGGCATTCACTGTATAGATGAAAAGAATGTAGGTGTGCTATTGTTGGCAGGCAGTAACTCAGTTTCTCTGCTGAGACAATAAGATTTTCAATGCTTTGTAAACATTCTCGTGCCTCTTGAGTATTGTAGTACATTTATTGCAAAAGATTACAGTTGTGTTTGCATTTGTACGTATTATAAAACTTTTGTGCGTTAAGGAAGTATCTTATCTGAAAAAATACGTGTGGTACATCAATGTTTGAAGCGAATTAAATGTTACAATCTATAACGAATATCATTGATCAAATCTCCATTGTGTCAAACTATTTAACGGACGTTAATATTTAATTCTTTCTTTTGCACATAAAAATTACTCACACTGAAGTTTTGATAAATTTAAGGTATCATTTATGTTTTCAAGCTATATGAGTAATCGTACAAACACATCATCTGTCACATATAGTGTCATACAGATATAATATGATAACAATAAACACCAGTTACTAACTCTAATTTTAACATAAAAAAAGATTCTAGATTTGCACGTGTCTTTGTTCCTTTAAAACTTCTTTATGTCTCTTCCTGACTTTTTTCTCCACCAATATGTAGTGGGCAAATTTAAAAATATCACTCGACGTCTCCTTGCCTCTACCGGTAATTTTTCAATTTAACGAATGTCGAACTTATCGCGACGTAATTGCAAAGAATTATACAGAATAATGCTATAAGTAAACTCTGAACGGTAATCGTAACACACTGATCATTCGCTGGATACACAAAGAATTAAGAAAAACGACATACGTTCCCGAGATACCGATTTGCCTGGGACCTGACGGCTGACATTCGCAGGAAAACCGTCTTCTGACGCCGATTGGCGGGTCATGGACCATACCACCAATCAGCGGCGATCTGCGAGTGTGAACGTCAACAGAGTAAACCGGGCTTAAAGTCATCAGGAATTTCTCGTCCAGGCATGACACTTTACTGGTCGTTACGTATCATCGTCGAAGAATGTAATGAAAACATGTAATACCATTCGAGAAATACGGTCACACAATTACCTCCTTCGCTGATAACAAGATGCTCGATGTGACACATTCTTATAGATCACCAAAGCTCTCGCGTACTCGAACATGCTTCCGCGGGCTTGAAAATTTTCACTGCAAATGCACTGCCGTCTGTTCACGATCCCTCGCTTTTCTTTCCCCTGGATCGGTTGTCCGAAAAGTATTTTGCCGTTTCCGGGCACTGTTCTAGTAGCTTGCTATCAAAAACAACGATACGTATAACTGTGGGTCTCGCGCACTCGACACACACTATCCCTCTGTTTTCTCGCACCTAGAGAACACACGTACAATACGGGCGGATTGACACTTCAGTAAACAAGAGACACTGTCACTGATGCTCCTGCGCCAGCTTTGTCGTCGTCGGTCCACCTTGATATTACACCAATATTCGCGATTAATCGTGTTCCCGATTTGATAATACCGATGACACGGATGATGGGCCCTTGCCCAGTTTATCGTCCTTCGTCTCCTCTCGGGAACTTGCGTCCCGATACGTCCACCATTTCGATTTTTCCAATCACGTGGTACGAATGGTCAGCTCTCATTGGTCAGTGCCATATGGCCACGTGACTGAACGCTACAGTACTAACTTCCATTGAGAGGAAGATTCCAGTTGGTGCCCTCTGTCGATCGTTCCAAGAAACGTTTCGTACATATTGTAAACACACAACGAGGTATATGATTTGACTTCGTTATCGACCGGATCCTAGTAGGAATGCGGTATAAATATTTAATTAAAAATATTTTGAACTGTTATTCGGCCAGGTGTTAGAAGAAGTAAAGTTTATTCTATTATCGTTGTAGATGTACTTATCTGCGAGAATAAATGTAGAAAGCTATTGCTATATATATGTATTATTATTATTATTATTATTATTATTATTATTTATATATATACATATATTAATAATAATATAGAAGATTTTATATATATATATATATATATATATATA